TTTATTGATCTGAAGAAGTATTAAAAGTCTTTTATTAAGATATATTTAAATGATTTCTACACATCTGATCAGAACTCTATACATAATATCAATATTAATAATCTTATAAAACAGTTGATAAACTGTATAAGTAAGTTCAAGAATGAACATTCTAAGTCTTAGTAAGTTAATACAACTATCATAACTCTCTCTACATTATTCATACACAGTTTTAAATGTGAGATATACAGTTTGAGATGACACTGAAAAAACACCTGTTGATGTCTGTATTCAGAACTTGCTACTGAACAGTGATATGAGTTAAACAAGAAATATATTATTATATCTGAGAAGAATAATAACAACAATGTCAGTACTAGCAGACATGATAAGTGAAAGAATAAAAAGAAGAATAAAGATAATAAGAAGGAGAAATTCTCTGATCTTATAATCTCATAATCTGCAGCTATCAATGCAGTAATTGCTTTTTCAGCAACTATTGATATAATAAGTAAACCTTGATTTCTTGACACATGTGTGAGTTTTCATATAATAGATGAAAAGCAGTCTCTCATTCAGTGAAAGATGTACAATGATAATATGAAGATTCATATAGTAGATGAAGATTACAGTCATATTAATGAGATCAGTGATCTTCTTCTAGAATCTGAAGAAGAGAATATCACTGTCTGTAATATTTATTATATATATAATAATTAGTATATACTGTAGATAATATATACTATAATTTTTGAAGTTTTCAATATAAGCTTTCAAGCTTAAACACCCTGTTCTATTTCATTATTAAAGTATCAAGTAAAGTGATTTTCACTGTAATTTATATATCTTAAAACTCAATTTATAAAATAGTTGAAAGAATATTAGAAGTTGATATATATTATAAGTCTAAAGCAGTCTACTTTACAGTGAAATCATATATATATGATAATAACTATGCTAAAGTCATGATTACTATTAATAATAATAATCTCACTGTTAATTAATCTCAATATCAAGAATCATCTATAATTATAAAAACACTTATAGAGTAGCATATTGATCTGAGATATATATATACAGAAGCTATTATAGCATTGATAAAGAATTTACTATCTGACATTCATATCAAAGATATCAAGATCAATTTCTTTTATAATATCTGTGTTAAAGTGAGTATAATATATAAATACTCAATCACTCTCATGTCACAGACTGTATACTCAATGAAGCAGATTCATATCAATCTTATAGATAATAGATGAATATTAAGTGAGTCTACAGATTACTCTGTTAAATCATGACAGAGTAATAAATATTATATATTAATCACAGATGATATGATCAGATATAGATGAATCTATTTCTTATATATCAAGAATCAAGCTTATAATTACTATGCATACTGAGTTCAATTCATGAAGAATCTAGGTTTTACTGTATCAGTATATGTCAGAATTAATATTAATAATATATTCAGATCTATGAAGATTACAGTATTATTCATTAATTATAACACAGTATGAGAATTAACTACTTCTTAATCATCATATCAAGATAGCATGTCTGAGTGTGAAATACATACAATTATAACTTACATTAGAGTAGTTTCTATTAGTAAGAAGATTCTGAAGAAATTCTGAGTGAATATTCTGAAAACAGTTATTTTAATTATAAATAATACACTCATATCTACAGTTCTATATAATGAAAAGTATTGATCTGCAGTTGTAGATGATAATAGTAAAGAAGCTGTTTATACCTCTTATATAATTTCTTTTTCAGTATTAATGAACACTCTGCTGCAGATTATATATTTCTGTGAGCTTGAAACTGATGTTTTTACTCATCTTCATGAATTATAGAAGTCATTGAATAAGTTATTCACACAGACTGATTTATATAAGCTTATTGAATTTCATAGATATTCAATCTATTACTTATGAAGTTTTATAACAGATAAAATTATTGATATAAGTGATGTAATTTTTCTTATAAAAGTGTAAGAAATACTGAAGATTACTATAACTACTACAACTGCAGCAACTGACACTGTTTCTATCATTTATTTAGTGAAGAATTTCAATGTTTCTGAATTAATGAATACAGATTAAATGCAGTTGATGAAGATATTTACAGCTTACACTCTTATCTTTATTACTGATTCTCTTCTAAAATCACACAAGAATACTATGAGTAGATCAGAAGTAATAAGAGATTATCAAAAGAAATTAATACAATATAAAATATCTGATCTTAAGAGATATAAGATCTGAACACTTATTTCACATTCTGATATTTTATACAATGAATCAGTGATATCTGATCACTGAGTATTTATTGAAAAGAATCACTCTGATAATTTCAATACTGATGAGAATAATATATTATAAAAATCTTGATAAGTTGTATATAATAACTGATTGAAGAAAGATACTTATCAGAAGACTTATATCTCTGTAATTACAGATATAATAAATTAAATAATGTTTGTAATTGCTGTAAAGTGTGATTGAATTCTATAATAAGTAAATATAGTAATAGTATATCTGTATAATAGATTAGAGAAAACAGTCTATATAAAATAATTCACAGACTTTGAATAAGAAACTCAGTATATACTTATCTGTGCAGTTGAAGAATCTCTATATAAATTGAATTCAGCTGTTAAAATATAATATAACTACTTAATAGCTATACTGCAAGAAAATGACTTCAGTCTGAGTTCTTATAACTCTGCTCTTTAAAAGCATTCAGTCTGAAAACACCTGTATATAATTATATATATTGATAATCTTCATATCTTTGCAGATGCTCTGAAGAATGCTGATTAACTTATTAATATTTTACAGTAAAAACTAGGGATTAAAAACTTAAAGAAACTTATAAAATATCTAGAAATGAAAGTAAAATATATAAAGAGTAAAGTTAAATTAACACTCTGATATTATATCAATGAATTGATAGAAGATTTTCATCTAGATGATACAACTGCTGTTTATACACTTATGAATAAGAATCTATATCTAGATGACTTCTCTATCTCTGAAAAAGAAAGTGATTTTATAAAGTGATAATTTCAGTATAATATTGAGTATCTGTAATACTTAGCTGTTAAGCTATGACTAAATATTATCTGTATAGTATCTCTATTCATATAGAAGAACACTGCTCTTATCTTTAAAATATAAAAGACTCTATTACACATCATTCAATATTTGAAAGAAATGCATGAGATTGATATATTCTATGTAAAGAATGATAATGAGAGATCTGAGAATGAATTTCTGCATATAATATATATACTGATCAGATATATAGATTTCAATTGAGTCAGTCTGTTGAATAATAATTATAAATCTATATTCAGTTATATCTTCAAATTGAGAAATACACTGATTTCATAGTGATTGAGTAAGTAACTCTGTGTATTCTTAAGCTCTAATGAGGCTGAATATGTGATGTTGAGTAAAACTATATGTAAAGCAATATAATTGAGAAGTATGATAATAAATCTGAACTTCATTAAAATAGAAGACTCTCTGTCAATTAAGATAGATAATAAAAGAGTAATTGATCTTATCACAGTGACTGCAATCACTGTAAGAAGTAAGTATATTAATACTCAATTCTATTACACCTGCAGTCAGTTGAACAATGATATAATTTCAATTAATTACATCTCAACTGAAGAAATAGTAGCAGATGAATTAACTAAAATCTTAAGTATAATTACATTTTATCAATTTCTTGATTTACTAGATTCTACAGATAAAGAGAGACAGAATACACAAACTCAATATAGATAGCATGATTTTAAATGAATTTGAGAATAACATAGCTAGATTTGCAAGAGATGATTGATTCTTTATTATAGTATTTGTGATCTTGCATGATAATGTGAGAGAGAGTGTAGCATCTGCTCTAGTAGCATTGCTGTAGTAACTGCTCCGCCTACACGTGATCTCATATATAATATATATATAGCTAGCTCTTTCTACACGAATACAATGAATTAATCATTTCACAGATTTTTGATGAGATGCATGTGAGGTCACATGAGGTCACATTACAGCGTTTTTTGCACGGAAAAGTTTTATCTCAGCGGGCTCAGACTCTCTGACTCGGTTTGAACAGATTGCAGCATTATTATTAACTAGTTAATCCGGTATGACACTAACCTACTTTTGATACAAGTTATGTACTCAGAGCAATTCTCATCAGAGAGTCTGAGAAGAAATGATTTCATCTTCAATGAAGATTTCTGAGATTTATAAGAATTTTTCAGATTCTTTAACTTTGACTTTCTATTACTATATATTCATATATCTTTGAGATTTGAAAATCACCTTAATTTATAGCTAAAGAGAAGAAGAATAGAAATATTTCTTTAATATTTTAAAAAAATCTATATTTAAGATAGATGTATACTCTTAAAAATAATCATATTTTTTAATCTCAGAATTTCTAAGAGCTTTTTTTTATATGAGAAATTGAATTAAAATTTCTGTATTCAAAAACACACTGATCAACTTTAAAATGATACTTCTATTCTAAGAACTTGAGATATGAATATAAAAATCAGATATATTATAAGAACATTATTATTCTAAGATTTCAAGATAATACAGAAATGATGAATCTATGAAATTAAGTTAAAATTCTCTTTTATACTCAGAGTACTGAGTAAATTCTTTCTGTGTTATTAATAATCAGAAATCATTTCTTCTCAGATACTTTGTAAGATATTATCACTTATATAATCTGATTTTACTATTTGAGTTAACTTATTACTTATTTGAGGTTAGCTCATGACATAATTATTAATTCAGTATTAAAACAGTCATAAATATCTGGAGAAGTGTCTGAGCTTACTGAGATAAGAAAAGTTGGTTTTTCTTTAATATATAGAGAGATAGTTAACTTTACAGATATAGAAAAAACCCTGAGAACTAAAAGTTCTCAGATAGATGTTATAGTCTCTGACTGCATACATCTATAATTGAAGAATACTAATAATAATATCTCTCTTTTTTTTTTTTTTTTTTTTTTTTTTTTTTTTTTTTACATCTCAATTAAATACCACCCCGTGGCTGTCTCAGCTGTTAGTCAACAGTACACACAGAGTACACTACATACACACCATGAGAGTACACTCAGGGGAAGTCAAGGGACTTACCGTCCAGCACCAGCATTGATAGGGGTTCATTAAATAACCACACGCACAGTAACCCTCCGGATCATGATTCTGGTTTTAAATACAATTATTAGTCTTCAACTCTCGTGGTTTTCTACAACACCGGGCAGAATCAATATTTACCAGGGCCATGCCAGAACAAGACACAGTCTGCCAACACTCCCAATCGTTTTGACACTGTTTATGGTATTAGTTCACTAGCATAAAAAAAAGGTCTACAGGGGACAAATTAAATGGCTACATACTTTAAGCGTATATGCACACTCATCCCAGCCGCCAGCCTCTCCATCCTTGGGAGTTTTCTTCGACCACTTACCAACAACGACGTTGATGAGGGCAAGCAGCGCAACAGTAGACACTTTCATGTTGGTTGAAAGGTATCGATCAGCTAGACACTTCGTGATTCGATGAACGGACAAGTAACGATCCTGGAAGGCGGACAATTCTTGCTTGATGTCGTTCAACTCGACTTGAAAATGCAAAATGCCCGCTCCCAATGCTCCTTAATATAACCCGGAGGCATGACTCATACCCGCGCCACTGACCCTCTCGAGAAGAAGGAAACATGGAAGGCATCCGTTTAACATCGTGCTAACCCGCGGGCTCTTCCTGGAGAAATTGCATCCATTGCTCGACCGGTGTGCCAATGACCAATGGCTCGCGCTTGGAGGAGAACAACTTACCAAAAACATCGCTGACCGCGAACCTTGGAACCCAAAACCCCGGAGCCGGCTTTGCCGCCCGCCCCCGCTAATCGAGTGGAACCGTGCGGGAGCAGTGGAGCCTCAAGTCTACGTAGTAACTAGCTCTAAACACGGTCAAAGAAAGTAAAACTTTGTCCGATATGAAGCGGTTACTTGTTGGTGACTTGCATCTGATTTACATGGAAGCTGCTACGTACTGTGTATAGGCAGGCACTTTGCCCACGGAACAAGCAAAGCCTTTTTTTTTTTTCTTTTTTTTTTTTTTGCCACACGCCTGATCTTGGTCCGAGCACATCGAAGATCACAAGATCACAATCACAAGATCGCGATCAGATCAACAAACACATCGACACGATCCGATCACATTTCAGGAATTTGATTGAAGAA